GGTTCAAATAATTTAAAATCTTGGAATAAATTTAACCAAGATCTCCACAATGAAAATTATAAAACATTAAAAAGAAATAGAAGACACCAAAAATGGAAAAATCTTTCATGTTCATGGATTGGCAGAATCAGTATTATCAAAATGCCCATACTACCGAAAGCAATTTACAGATTCAATGTCATACCCATCAAAATACCAACAACATTCTTCACAGATATAGAAAAAAATGATGCTGAAATTTGCATGGAAACACAGGAGACCACGAACAGGTAAAGCAATCTTATAGAACAAATATAAAACTGGAGACATCACAGCACCATACCAGATTTCAAGACATACTACAGGGCAGTTATACTCAAAACAGCCTGGTACTGGCATAAAAATAGACATCTAGACCAGTGGAACAGAACAGAAACCCCAGAAATCAATCCACACATCTACAACCAACTAATATTTGACAAAGGAGCTAAAAATCAATCCCTGGACAATCTCTTCAACAAATTGTGTTGGGAAAATTGGGTCTTCATGTGCTATACTAGAAAAGTCCCCTACCTTATACCTTATATAAAAATCAACTCAAGATGGATCTAGGATCCAAATGTATGAATTGATACCCTCAAATTACTAGTGAAGAACATTGGAGAAACTCTACAAGACATAGGCATTGGCAAAGACTCCTTGGAAAAGATCCTAGAATCACAGGCAATCAATTCCAAAATAGACAAATGGGATTACATCAAGCTGAAAAGCTTCTGCACTGCAAAGGTAACACTCAACAAAGTGAAGAGGCAACCATCAGAATGGGAGAAAATATTTGCAAACTATGCAACTGATAAAGGATTACTACCCAGAATCTATAAATAGCTCAAGGAACTCAACAATAAAACAATCAAGAAATGGGCAAAGGACTTCAACAGTTATTTTTCAAAAGATGAAATCCAAATGGCCACCAGCCACATCAAAAAATGCTCAGGATCACTAGCTATCAGGGAAATGCAAATAAAACCACAATGAGGTTTCACCTCTCCCCAGTAAGAATGGTTCTCATACAGAAATCAACAAACAATGAATGCTGGTAAGGATGTGGCGAAAATGGTACCTTAATCTACTGTTAGTGGGAATGTAAACTAGTACAGCCAGTATGGAGGTTCCTCAGAAATCTGAAGATAGAGCTATCATATCACCCAGCCTTCTCTTTTCTGGGAATTTACTAAAATGAAATGAAGTAAGCATATGAAATAGTTATCTATACCATGAAGTTTATTACAGCTGTATTCACAATAGCCAAGATATGGAATCAACCCAGATGTGCATCAAGCGATGACTAGATAAAGAAAATGTGGTCTCACATGCACACACTATAGATTACTACTCAGTCATAGAAAATGAAATCCTGTCTTTTGCAACAAAATTGATATAATTGAAAATTATTATTCTTAGGGAAATAAGCCAGACCCCAAAAGACAAATATCATGTTTTCCCTGAATTGGGTTAACCAAGTACAAAAAATGATAATGTATATGATTGAAATAGACATTTTGAGATTTGGTTATTGTTTGTAGCCCTCATCTCTACTGTTGAGAAACTGTTTTCTTTTTACTATTTTTGAATTATTTACTTAGTGGAGGATTAATATTGTGATTATAAAATGAACTGAAAGTATGTCATTGTAAAAAAGAATGGTGGGGTAGTAGCTGGAGTGCGGCTTAAATTTTCAGTTCTAAAAATAGGCTTTTTATGAATCCATGAATGTCCATATATTTTTGTAGTCTTAGAAGATTTCAAAGTGTAGGACATTCTAGAAAAAGGTATAGGTGATCTTAAAATGACATTTATTTGAAGTTTGCAGCTATTTTGATAGGCTTTGGGTTGTGTGTGGTGTAAGCTTTGGTCTTACAGTGAGTTGTCTGCCACTTTAGAAGAGGATCACAGGATGGAGAGATCAAAATAACACAGAAAAAAAAACAACACTGATATATGGTTCAATCCGTTCAATCCTGCATATGAAAGCAAAACTGTGCAAATGAAGATATGGAAATAAATGTAAACAAATGTAAAAGAGTGCTCTAATTGCTGACAGGGGCAATTACTGTTGCTTTTACCATAAGTAGAGAAGATTCTATAGGCAGTGCCAAAGGGAAGAAAAACCTATTTAGTTAAAATTACTCATGCAGAGGGGAAAAATGCAGTCTGCTTGAACATTAAGATTGTTTCTGAGCCTCCTATCCTAATTGGCAATTTTGTGTGTAGTGAAATTTCATATTCTACAAAAGTGGACTCTATATATATCTTCCCATTTTGACAATTCCAAATACATTGGAGGAATCACAGCATGTTTTGCTTCCGAGATGAATTTTAAACTAGGGCTAGGAGGAAAGGGAGGTGACATCTTAATGCACGGCTTTCTGATGCTGCATGATTATGATGAAACTGACATTAAAAAGTGATCAGTCGGTTCTGACTGTGCATTCGCCATATGGTTAAGGTCCTCTAATGAACATTTAAGGAAGAATAGTTCTGCATTTGGACTGGGTTGCAGAAATTTTTTCATCTTTTTCTGGAACTAAAAATACAGGAGGTGATGAGCTGGCATGGCTCCTCAGAACTCACCAGATGGCTATGTGTGGCTTCTGTAAGAGCTGTGTTTGCAGCACAGCTTTCAAGGTGTGGTCCTCGGAATACTTGCATCAGACTCTTTCTGTGTGCTTGCTGATTGTGCAGCTCCCTGGGTTGGCCCCAGATTTAGTGCACACAGTCTTTGGAGCTTGGAATTTGCATTTTGACAAATGTAAAACAATTTAACACCTCTAGGTGAGCATACCAATGTTGAGACTCTGTTAAGAGTCTTCTTTACAGACTGGTTCCATTTTTAACTACCCAAGACCTTCTTTTTATTTATTTTTTGACAGGCAGAGTGGACAGTGAGAGAGAGAGACAAAGAGAAAGGTCTTCCTTGCCGTTGGTTCACCCTCCAATGGCCGCCACGGCTGGCGCGCTGCGACCAGCGCACGGCGCTGATCCAATGGCAGGAGCCAGGTGCTTCTCCTGGTCTCCCATGGGGTGCAGGGCCCAAGCACTTGGGCCATCCTCCACTGCACTCCCTGGCCACAGCAGAGAGCTGGCCTGGAAGAGGGGTAGCCGGGACAGAATCCGGCGCCCCGACCGGGACTAGAACCCGGTGTGCCGGCGCCGCAAGGCGGAGGATTAGCCTAGTGAGCCGCGGCGCTGGCCTTTAACTACCCAAGACCTTCTTTTTTTTTTTTTTTTTTTTCTTATGAAAACTTTTTATTCACAAAGAACTATACACTTACTTCTATTTGGCATAATTCAATAACCAGACTGGCTAGAGGGTATCAGCTTCATTGTGCAGAAGAGCAGAGACATTGTTCCCATATTTATTTTTTTTAAAAATATTTTTCAGAGGGGGAGAGAGAGAGGTCTTCCACCCATTGGTTTGTTTCCTAAATGGCTGCAACAGCTGGGCTGGGCCAGGCGAAAGCCAGCAGCCCGGCACTCTCCATCCAGGTCTCTCTCAGGGGTGGCAGGGAGCCAGATCAGAAGTGGAGCAGGCTGGATCCGACTGGTGCCCTTACATGGGATGTCCACATTGCAAGCAGCCACCTTAACCCACTGTGCCACGACCCCAGCCTGTCCTCGTATTTAGTATGACAGGTCTGAGGTACAAGGCCTGTTTTCAGACTCACGACTGTTTTTCCATGACTTGGTAATACATCATTTTAAAGTAATCCGATTTCACAATGTTTTACAGTATAAGAGTGACATCTTCTGCCAGGTGAACTCTGGAGCCAACCATCCTAATTAATTACCTCACAACCTGGCATGTTTTAAATGCATTGTTTTACTGCTAACTCATTTCACAGCTATGTTTAAAGGCTCCATGAGCCAAAATTAAAGCAAAGTTGATTTGAAGGGACCCAGGAACACAGCCCTAAAGCAGGTTTTCCTGTTTAACTTAGGCCTGGCACATCCTCACCAACTGCTTAGATCACAAGCTGAGGCAATTTAGGGCTGGACCGCTGATGAAAGACAAAGATGTACTGACTGACTAACCCCTCCCTCCCCAGGATTAATTTCCCCATAACTCTTGTTGCTGGCCTATTATGTCATCAACAGGATAAAGAGCAAGACTTCTGGGGTCTAGAATATGAAAGGAAAAGGTCCAACTAAGCTGTTTATTTGGGGCCTTAAAAAGCCAGTGCTAATTTCACTCAAACCAAACTGAGAAAATGGTTCGCCACTTCCTGATCTGATGCTTAATCATCAGGGAAACCAGGAAATTCAACCCCCAAGCCAGAGGGGGAAAGGGTGGGCATTTCCAGACTTACAGATGGCACAAGAAGCCACAAGAGCTGCCAGTGTGCTAGCGGAAAACACCCAACTGGCTTGATGGGGAAAAGCCACCTTGGTCAACTCTGGTATTCGGTAGGATACAGAACCAGAGATTAGCAAGATGAAGGCCTGGGAGACCAACCCTCCTTAAGAGCCGGACTTCCTCACCCCGGGGAGCTCTGCCTGAGAGGGGTTCTATGAGCTCCCTGAAATTCCAAGTAAAATTTTGGGTATGTGTTTGCCCGGTGAAGGGATCCTTCCTTTGAAAAATTCTGAGCTAAGAAAAGGAGTACGGCAGCTCCAAGCTAGAACAGAAAAGCCATCAGACACATTGAGAAGCCAGCCAAGTGAGAGTGCCTGCAGTCGTCATTGAGCAGCTGGAACATGGATCCACAGCAGACACAGCTGAGCACTGTTTTGGTGCTCCGCTTCCTAACTGTATTTCAAGTCTCTTCAAAACAAGGCCCTGGTAGCCCCCAAGTCCTGGGAAATCTTGACAGATGCTCCGGCCAGTCATTCACCAAAATCAAATGCCAGGACAGAAGCTGTGACAAAGGAAGACTCCTTCTTCAATGGTCGGTGCTGAGTCCAGAGGAGGCAGCACCCAAGATGGAAGACAGTGGAACCTCTCCTTGGAACGGGGTAGGGATGAGGTGCCTGCCATGATCACAACTATCTTTCCCTTGATCTGTCCTTTCCAATTTCCGGGGATAAGGAAGAAAATCTTCTCTGAAGATACTTGATAATAATTCCAAAAAAACATCTTTCCAGATATCCTGGGTCTAGTTCAGCTGGCGGATGAGCTGATTGATGCGTTCACCCCGATAGCCAGGTGAGCCCATCTCCTTGAGGAAGCCCACTCTGTTCTTGCTAGCATGACGGGCCACTGACAGCTGGAAAGGGCGCAGGAACCTCGCAATATTCTGGAAATACTTCCCCGGGAAGGCAATTTCATGAATGAGGTCTTCCAAGCAGATGACACCAAATCTCCCCAGGTGCTCCTCAATCACGGTGTTGTCTGTCAGAGGGATGCTCTTATCGTTGACCCTTGCTTGCCCACGTTTCAGGATGAGTTCCCGGACAGACTTCAGATTTGGAAATCCCCAGGTCACGTAAGGTTCCACTATCCGCAGCAGTTTTAGGTTTTGGGGGGTGATCTGGACAAAGACGCCACTGAACAGTTTCTTCAGGCGAAGTCTTGCAATGGTCCTCTCCACCAGTGAACTCACCCCATAGCGCCATATTGTGGGAGAGCAGATGCATAGAATAAGTCTTAATTCCAGTAACTTAGTCTAGTCCGAGTTGCTCCCCACAATCAACTTCAAAATTTTGGGCACCATAAGAAAGAAATCTTAACTCCATTAAAGACCCTCATAAGAATAGAGGAGGCTTGTTTGCTTGTCCTTGTGGAACACAGGGAGAAATACACTCTGTCAGTATCAGGAATGACAGCTGTAGGCATACAGATGACTGTAGGCAGAACATGCTGAAGACGACCGTCTGTCTTCTCTGACAGAGGAAAAGAAAAGAATTCAGGTTTAAGCGACTGGAGTCCTTCGTGCACGATTCCTGGCGGCAGCGACGGGATGCAGTCCGGCTCCGATGACTGAAAGTGAAACCTCGTGCCTTGGAAATGCCAGACAAGCATTCCTTGGCCTTTGTTGTACGGCTCCAAAGGATTAACGGGGTGAGTCCAAGACCTTCTAAATAGTGCTGATGCTTGTCTCCATCTTCAGAATCTGATTTACTCAATTCCCTCATGCAACCCATCCTTGTAAGTATAATATACAGTGTTACTGAATTACCTATCTCTATACTGAATTATCTAATATCTATATTGTATTACCTAATACCTATACTGAATTTACTATATATGCATACTGAACGACCTACACATCCATACCGAACGACCTACACATCCATACCGAACGACCTACACATCCATACCGAACGACCTACACATCTATAAAGCTGTATTTCTCTGCATAAATGTACACAAAGTGAGTTACTTAACTACTGGCCATCTGCTGAAGATTCTTTCACTGAATGTTACCAGACCTCATTCAGGAGCTCTAACCCACAGTATAATGAACCTTTAAGTCCCTCAAGAACCAGAAATACAGCCTTCCTGACCATCTGACATAGGTCAGAGTTCTCACAAGCGTGTACATTTATTGCTAGTGGTAGGTGAGGTCATTTTCAATAGCATTCTCTCATTACCATAATGCTCTACTTGTTTCCACATATAATTGCAAAAATATAAGTAGCCCATCAGACCTGGATTCCATTGACTTTATTCTTAGTACAAAGTAGCAACAGGTAACAATACTACACTTAAGCTGATTTAAGGAGAGCTATAAGTCAATAAGAGGTGGTGGATGATATACTTTTGAATCATGAACTTGAAATGCAGATGTCCCTGGTATGATGATTAACAGCATTGACTCAGTATAACCTCTCAGCTGTGCCACTCAATGACTGTACAAATTTAGGCAAGTTACAAACATATTCTGAATCTCATTTCCCTCATCTATGAAATAATAATCTGAGCTTAAACAATTAAGTTCAAATGTGATACTGCATATAAAGCATTTATTCAGGGCAGACATGTGTTTAGTTCTCAATATGTGTGTACATACAGCCATGGAATCTGTACCCAACAGGGCTGTAGTCCTGCCTTCAAATGACAGCATGATTCTGCACATATCAAACTTTTTGGGTTTCAATTTAATATGACTAAAATATAGGGTTATATAAAAATACAGTGAGCATCAAGCCAGGTGATGTCTGAGGGTCCTTTCTGCACCATGATTTGGAAACGTAAAGCAATCAGCGATCTAGGGATGCAAGGATGAAAACACAGCAGTCAGTCCTGTGAGTGCACAAACATGCAGAATGCAGCTCGCAGCTCACAGCAACTCCCTGAGGCTGCTCTCCCTGACACCTGTGTCCATGCATCTCTGTCTGGCTTCTCAGTGAACCCACTCTAATACCAAAGAATCTGTTTGGGGTTGGGAGTGGGACTTGACCCTGGAAAATCCATTTCAGACAAAGGAATTTGTTGATGGGTGCAAAAAAGTGGATGTGCTATTCTCTGCAGGATATCATTCTGTAGTGATACAGTCCTGCGCACTCATGGCAGCTGTCCCATAGCCATAGGAGAGGAAGAGCTACAGGATGTAGCCAGCACAGACAAACGAGAAACCAGTGTGAGTGAAATTGAAAGACAGAAAACCAGTCCTGCTCAGATTAGAGTCCTGGGTTTTCAGCTCCTCGAGTCTCTCTGGACTGGTCAGTTAAGTAGGTCTCTCTCTGTTTGTTACTTAACCACCCTGGGTAAAGTTTGCTACCCCATGAGAAGAAAGCAGTGACACCTGCCATTTACTCAAAGAGTCCCTGTCTTCCTCCAATTTCAATTGCTTTTAAACTTTCTCTTTCCCCAACCTGTCTACCATTGGCATGGATGTTGGAGTTTCTCTTTAGTCTTCCTCACTGAGAATGATTTATCTTTGGAGGAAAGATAGAGATATCTTCAGTTATACATTAATAAGTTAACAAATAATAAGCATCCTAATGCATTTATCAGTCTGTTTATCCACTGACACATGCATCTCATCTTTGTCCACCCATCCAGCAAATGTTCACCAAGCACTTGCCAACATGCAGGGATTCTGGTGGGTAGTGAAGTCCACTCCTACATATTACAGATCAGAGAGAATATAGAGCCCAAACATTGAGTTCAGTTTTGGTTTGTATATCAACTTTTCATTGATATAATGAAATAACAGGGATAGGCTAACTTTAAAAAGAAAAGAGGTTTACTCAGCCCACAGTTTGAGGCTGAAATTCCAAGGAGCACAGTACAGGCTGTCCCAAGGGACCCTTGGTGGGTAGCAGGAGCAGGTGCAGGAGTAAATGATCATACCTTGATAAAGGAAGCCAGAAAGCAGCTCAGGTGTCAGGCTCAGGCTTTTATAACAACTTGCTCTTGGGATAGTTCACCTCAGGAGAACTTTATTTTTCCCCAGGGCAGTGTCCTCAGTGACCTAAACACCTCTAGGTCTTTTTTTTTTTTTTTTTTTTTTTGACAGGCAGAGTGGATAGAGAGAGACAGAGAGAAAGGTCTTCCTTTTTGCTGTTGGTTCACCCTCCAATGGCCGCCATGCTGCGGCCGGTGCACCGCGCTGATCCGAAGGCAGGAGCCAGGTGCTTCTGGTCTCCCAGGGGGTGCAGGGCCCAAGCACTTGGGCCATCCTCCACTGCACTCCCGGGCCATAGCAGAGAGCTGGCCTGGAAGAGGGGCAACCAGGATAGAATCCGGCGCCCTGACTGGGCCTAGAACCTGGTGTGCCGGCGCCACAGGTGGAGGATTAGCCTATTGAGCCCTGGCGCCAGACCTCTCTCTAGGGCTTAGCACCTTTCAAATCCACCCACCTCGGGGACCAAGCCTCCAGCACATGAACCTTTGGAGGGTAAACAAAATCCAAATCGCAGCCTTCAGCAAGTCTTTGTAGATGGCCTTTCATTCCTGATTGGCGTGCCCAGTTAGACTGTATACCTCTAAAAGTTCATTGCTATTCCTGGGAGGGAGAGCAGAGTAGTATTAGAATATTGGGCACTGTCATTCTGGGATCCTCTACTGTAGAAGACAATTTCTAACCATATATTGTATCCCCAAGGAAAATGCTTCTGCTTTCAGCATGGGCTAGGGGGTGAAGCGAGAGATCCATGTAGGAATAAAGAAAATATACCTTGCTACCCCTTTGTCCTCACAGCTGGCTTTTGTCTTTGGTACAGAGAACAAGTGCTGGGCTCTCTCCCAGGCTTGGTAAATGTGTGCTCTAGGCCATGGGCTAAGTTGATGAGCCTGCTTAAAATCCAAACTAAGTGCAGTCTATCAGAGATACATTAAAACACAGCAGAAACTTAGCAGATGCTTGTTGGAGTGATGAAGGCCAACTGCTGATGGTGTCTGAAGTGAGCAGGTGCATGTTGTCTTTGTTAAAGGTCATAGGCTTCCAACTTGATGAAATAATATGCTTAAGGAGATAAAATTAGACTAGCACTTGGTTATTTCAAACAAGATGGAATTCCCTGTCACTACAGCTATCTCAAGGTGACCACTTATTGCTTCTCCTTAGATAGAGGCACAGGGTCTTATTTTTGTGTTTATCTTTTCCCGTGTTATTTGTGTTCGCTCTGTTTACTTCGTTGAACCTAGTTCTTGGGTAAAGGACCCTCTGATACTTGGAGAAAATGATTATCTGGTGCCTAAGAGTCACGCCCTAGAAGGATTTTTCTCTCTATGCTCTCCCTCTCAGCCTCTTTTACACCCAGGCCCTTAATCCTTTGTACTTTCAAATTCCCTCTAATGCTGTTTTGGTTCCTATCTTCTTCCAATTAAAGAAAATAAAGGGGATTTTGGAACTTTCTTAAGCTCACAGGATTGTTTACAGTAGATAGTATTCAATTTTAAAAAGACACTGGGAGCAATGGAATCTATTTTAGGGGCTGGCACTGTGGTGCAGGTTAAGACTCTGCCTGCAGTGCCGGCATCCCATATGGGTGCCGGTTCTAGTCTCGGGTGCCCCTCTTCCAATCCAGCTCTCTGCTATGGCCTGGGAAAGTAGCAGAAGATGGCCCAAGGGCTTGGGCCCTTGCATCTGTATGCAAGACCCAGAAGAAGCTCTTGGATTCTGGCCTTGGATTGGCTCAGTCCAGCTGTTGTGGCCATCTGGGGAGTAAACCAGTAGATGGAAGACCTCTCTCTCTGCTCCTCACCGTCTATAATCTACCTGTTAAAAAATAATTTAAAAAAATGTAGCCTCCATACATGAGACACTAATTAGGGTCTCTACAGGGTGAAGCTGAGAGTCAGATAATTAGACAATGACTAGGAGCTTTTTCATGCTCATCCACATGGGGGCCAGTGGCCCCTGTGACGTCAGTCAGATGGCCCATCTGGGAGGTTTGTTAAGAGACTCGCAAGACACCCAAGAGCTTCACACAGAGCTGACCCTTGTGAGGGGGATAGCTGCCCATCCTTGAACTGTGTGAGGCTCCACCAGCTCAGAGGCAGGTGGGTTTTCAGTTGAGTAACTGACCAGAATGACAAAGCCAAAATTAAGGGTCTCTGGGTGGGTGGGATTGTACTTGTCATCCCAGGTACAATCGCACAAAGCTGGCATCTTTTGTTAAAAATACCCTGGGAAAGAAGCTTCTTAGAACTGGAAGGGAAACATTATGCTAAGAGTAGTAAGGTAGACACATAAGACAGATATAACATTCTGTTTGTAGAAAGAATCTGGAATAGGCAGATTCAAAGGGAAGAAAAGAAGAATATCTATTATTACCAGTAGGTAGAAAGAGGGAGAAAAGGAGAATCAGTATTTAATGGGTACAGATTTGCAGCTGGGGATGATAAATAAGTTTTGGGTACAGATAGTGATGACAGTCAAATCCTACTGCAGTTGTCCTTAATGCCACTGAAATCCATGCTTCCAGATGGTTAAAATGATATCAGGAAGCCACTATAGGGGAAAGATGGGTTATAACATTTTAAAATTAAATATGTGATTAATAGTTACTTAGAAATTTATATGGAAATAATAGCCATTTAGAAAGAAAATTTAAATGCATTCTGTGATA